GTCATAGAAGGAGATCAGGTTAGTCAAGCAGGACCTGCCTTTCATAAACCCATGCTGACTGGGCCTGATCACCTGGTTGTCCTGTGATGCCGCGTGATGGCGCTCAAGATGATCTGCTCCATAACCTTCCCCGGCACTGAGGTCAGACTGACAAGGCTGTAATTCCCCGGATCCTCCTTCCAGCCCTTCTTGTAGATGGACATCACATTTGCTAACCTCCAGTCAACTGGGACCTCCCCGGTTAGCCAGGACTGCTGATAAATGATTGAAGGTGGCTTGGTGAGCACTCCTGCCAGCTCCCTCAGTACCCTTGGGTGGATCCCATCCGGCCCCATAGACTTGTGTGTGTCTAAGAGGTGTAGCAGGTTGCTAACCATTTCGCCTTGGATTATGGGGGCTTCATTCTGCTCCCCATCCCTGTCTTCCAGCTCAGGGGGCTGGGTACCCGGAGGACAACTGGTCTTACTATTAAAGACTGAGGCAAAGGAGGCATTAAGTACCTCAGCCTTTTCCTCGTCCCTTGTCACTATGTTTCCCCCTGCATCCAATATGCCCAGTAAAAAATGACATAGGTTTAATATTAAGCCAAATTTCCAGATTCACATATCTGATGCTTAGCAAAAAAGCAAGCAAAGAACCAGGCGCCAAGGAGCAAAAAGTCACTTCATTTGCTTACAGCTTGCAAGTATGTTTTCAGTTGTTTTTTTTCCTGTAGCCAGTCTGAGGATTTTTCCTAAATATTGTCCTTGTAAAGACATGCATTAGTAGCGTCTGTTTCATGCCAGGTAAAACCCTTCCCACAGCCACGCACACACTTGCTGTCTGTCAGCAAAAACTTCTGTGTCAGTAATTAGAAAAATGCTATTAAAAGCCTGCCTTGTAATCCCAGATAGCCTCTGGGTTGACTCAGTTCTATTTTGTCTTCCTTGCTCAGTGCAGTAACCCAGGATCCTTCCACCGCGAAGAGGGACCCCGCTCCTCTGACAAGCTGCCTAGCTACTATTTTATTTACGTGGTTCTACGAAGTGTCATTCTGAGGGCAACGGCATATAGCTGTAGCGTCCCAAGGAGGTGACCTTTGGTGACAAAATCCTTAGTCTAACAGGTTTGTAACACAGGTGAAGCATGTTACAGATGGGCACTTGGGAGCTGGATCTCACTATGGGGACGAACCTGTACATCATGTAATCATCTGAAAATTTACTCCAGCCTGTCCGGAGTCTAGATCATCAGACAACATCGTAAAACAGATGAGTCAGGGCACTAAAACATGGGGGTTATCCACTGAGCTCATTATTTTCATACCTAATTACACAGTGCTATTGAGGAAGAACTGCGTATTATGCTGAAGAATCCTGTTTCATCACTAGTCCTAAAAGATAATTGTGTTTAATTAGGACCTATGGATACCTTGGTGATTACTGATCTATAAACACTCAAGGTAGACCTGCACATGAGGTGCAATAGCAAGTGCATCCATTAAACACAATTCAAAAGCTGATACTGAGGTGAGATGACAATTAAAAGTTGAGCTGTTCTAATTCACCATGTAACTTGTAGCTGTAGTGCTCTGTTCTGATTCTCTGCAATTCCCCTGCTGTGAACCAGCTGATCTTCCCTTACTGAATTTAGAGAACTTCTTGTTTAATCCAGTCTAATATATGCATGAATG